GGAGGATCAGAAGGAGGAGAAGGCGGAGCTGGAGAATGATCATGAGGATGATGATGATGATGATGATGATGATGATGATGATGATGGTGATGGTGATGATGATGATGGTGATGATGATGATGATGATGATGATGATGATCACCATCATGATCATGATCATGATCATGATCATGATCATGATCATGAAATGATGATCCGTAAGGGTTTCGCCCCCTGCCGCTGGCCCCCTCTCGGAGGATGGGCAACGGAAGAGCGCAGTCATAAGGCTTTGGCTTCGCCGTGAAGCAGTGTCGGGACCTGTTTGTTTTTTTCGACCCTGACCCTGCGGATCTGTCTGCGTGAGGGGTGCCGCCGAATTTCAGAAATGTGGCAAATCCCTTGTGTTTTTGAGCCCTGACCCTGCGGATCTGCGTGAGGGGTGCCGCCGAATTTGACAAATGTGGCAAATCCCCTTTGTTTTTTTACCCTGACCCTGCCGATCTGCGTGAGGGGTGCCGCCGAATTTTAAAAATGTGGCACATCCCATGTGTTTTTGGATCCTGACCTCGCCGATCTGCGTGAGGGGTGCCACCGAATTTTAGAAATGTGGCAAATCCCCTGTGTTTTTGCACCCTGACCCCGCCACTCTGCGTGAGGGGTGCCACCGAATTTCAGAAATGTGGCAAATCCTTTATGCTTTTGGGCCCTGAGGGGCGCCGCCGAATTTAAGAAAGCACATCCCGTGTGTTTTTGGACCCTGACCCCGCCGACCTGCTTGAGGGGTGCCAATTTTTACCCACCCCTATCAATTCAGACAACACGATTTGGGCGTGGAAATAATGCCTGTTTTGGGCCTGCCCCCCTCGCGCGGTCCTTCAACAAGGAACAGTCAGCAGCAAGAAGTCATCAAGGAAGAGTAAGCAGCAAGAAGCAGAACTGTAACAGTGGAAACTGGAAGCTGCAACTGGTACAGGACACTGCGAACCTTCGACCTACAGCCTGGTGGCCCCACAAGGGGGCCGGCGGATTATGATGATGATGACGATGGTGATGGTGATGATATGTTTGATGATGTTTTGATGATGACGATGATCACGATGATCACGATGATGATGATGATGATGATGATGATGATGATGATGATGCTGATGATGCTGATGCTTATGATGTTGATCATGACGATGCTGTTGATGGTGATGGTGATGGTGATGATGGTGATGATGATGCTGAGGATGACGATGCTGATGATGACGATGTTAATGCTGATGTTGATGACGATGATGACGGTTGCGATGACGACACCGATGATGATGCTGACGGTCATTGTGGTGATGATGGTTATGGTTATGGCGATGGTGATGGCGATGATGTTGATGATGATGGTGATGATGATGCTCATGATGGTGATGATGACGACGCTGATGATTTTGATGATGATAATGATGATGGTGATGCTGATGACGACGATTCTGAAAATGGTGTTAGTGATTGTGTTGATGGTGATGCTGATGATGATGGTGATGATGCTGCTGATGGTGATGGTGATGGTAATGATCATGATGATGCTGCTGATGATGGTGATGATGATGCTGATCATGATGATGGTGATGGTGATGATGATGCTGATAATCATGATACTGGTGCTGCTGATGATGATGATGATGGTGGTTGTGATGATGATGCTGACGATGATGGTGCTGCTGATGATGATGCTGATGATGATGATGATGATGATGATGATGATGATGATGATGATGATGATGATGATGGTGATGCTGCTGCTGATGATGATGGTGATGATGATGGTGATGATGATAACGACGATGATGATGCTGATGATGAGCATCATGATGAGCATGCTTATGATGATGATGGTGATGATGATGATGATGATGGTGGTGATGATAATGATGATGTTGATGCTGATGATGATGGTGATGATGATGATGATGATGATGATGATGATGATGATGATGATGATGATGATGATGATGAAGAGGAGGAGGAGGAGCAGCAACAACGGCAGCTGCTGGAGCCAGGAGCAGCAGGGAGAGGAGGAGAAGGAGGAGGAGGAGGAGGTGGAGGAGGAGGAGGAGGAGGAGGAGGGAGGAGGAGGGAAGAGCCAGCCGCCAGGAGCCAGCAGGGAGAGAGGAGGGAAGGGGAGGAAGGGGAAGGGCAGCGAATGAGGAAAGACCAGGGAGAGGAGGATGATCGAGGAGCGAGGATTGAGCAGCGGGGAGGGTGGAGGGAGGAGGAGGAGGAGGAGGAGGAGGAGGAGGAGGAGGAGGAGGAGGAGGGGGAGACTGCGGCGAGACAAGCCAGGAGGAGTACGCAGGCGGAGGAGGTCGTGTGGCAATTCCCCCGGACTTGCGCGCGCGGGCCCCCTTCTCCTCCCCGTCCTCAGGCGGTTGCCCATTCTGGCCGCGAGGGTACTGGCGCGACCCGCCACCGGAACGCAGAGGGAGCGCAGCGTCGGAGGCCCCGAGGCTGGCACCCGGCACCGACCTCGGCGGCGTGCCTCCGCCGAGGGAGGACGATCCCGATCTCGGTGATGGTTGTCAGGTTCGGGCTTGTGACCGGTTTCTGATTCATTGTTTTGCCGATCGGCGCGGGCCCTCGTCCCCCCCCCCCTTCTGGAGTAGATCTTGGCTGTCGTTGGCGCCTGGAGTCTCCCCCGTATGACCCACGGCTGCAAGCAGTCGCCCTCAGCAGGGGTCTGGAGCCAGACCCCCTCCCCCCCGTTTCCGCCCAATGTCGGAACGCCGAGTAAGAAAACGTTCATTTTCCTGGCATCGCTCGGACGTGTGCATGTTTCGGCAGGGGCCATCGAGGAGCATTTTGAGTCCAGCTTGAGAAGCAATGCGCGCGCGAAGCCGAGAGGGGAATGGACGGCCGAGCGATGGTGAGTGGGAGGCCGAAAGATGACCACCCGCAACACTTCACCCTGCGACGTACCCAGCCCATCGGCACCCAAAAAATGGAATGAGGTGTGCCCGCAATAGTGCGACAGCAACACTGCAAGAGATTGTGCACGGCGGATATCTACATCGTGCGAAGTGTGCGTGGCCGACTTGCAGAACAGAGGTAAACAAAGGCCAGGAGGCAATGCTCAGGAAAGGAGAAGCAAAAGGAAGACATCGGGGCGGAATGACAATCACCTCGGCAGAAGCAGCGAGATGTTGGAGCACGGGCAAGATAAGCTCAGGTACAGTGGCGGAGACGCAACATCAGCCCCTCGAGGAGACCTCGAAAGTGGGAACAAGTTCACACTTCGCAGCCCCCAGGAAAGGCGAGTTGCCGTTTGGATCTAACATCCCACGAAAGTGGTGGCAGTTTCACACTTCGCATTCCCGACGGGATGGCGAGGTCCTGTTTGGATCTGCGTGGCACCCCACTGCGTTGGCCCCCCCCCCCCCAGCAGCTTTCACAACTGGCGACAGTTTCACACTTCGCAGCCCCCCCCCCCGCGTGGGGCTGCGTTGGGCCCCACTGCGCTGGCCCCCAGCAGCTTTCAAAAGTGGCGATAGTTTCACACTTCGCAGCCGCCCTGGGATGGCGAGGTCCCGTTTGGGTCTGCGTGGGGCCCCTTTGTATTATGCTGCCTTCGGAATTGGCGGCAGCTTCACACTTCGCAGCCACCCAGGGATGGGGAGGTACCGATCCGGTTTGCGTGGGGCCCCACTGCGTTGGTCCCTCCAGCAGCCATCGAAAGTGACCACAGTTTCAGAATTCGCAGCCTTCCAAAGATGAAGAGGTTCCTTCTGGGTCTGCGTGGGAACCCGCTGTGTTGGCTCCCCCGGCGGCAGTGTCACATGTCGAAGCCCCCCAAGAGTAGCGAGGTCCCGGTTGGTTCTGCGTGGGGCCCCATTGTGCTGGCTCCCCCATCACCCTTCGAAAGTGGCGGCAGTTTCACACTTCGCAGTCCCCCAGGGATGGCGAGGTCCTGTTTGAGTCTGCGTGGGGCCCCACCGCGCTGGCTCCCCCAGCAGCCCTCGAAAGTGGCGACCGTTTCACACGTCGGCGAGGCCCCAAGAGGATTGCGAGAGGAGAGGGCCAAGAGGAGAGGAGCGGGGCGGGGGCGAGAAGGGGGAAAAGGGAGTTGGCACCCCACTGTCCGAGGCCCGAAAACCATCACGTCACTAATCTTGGGCCCCAGGGCCCATGGAGGCCCCAGGGGCCCCAGATTAGTGAAGTGATGCTTTTTTTCCCACGTAAGGACCACGACATTCATCACTTCACTAAACCGAACCCAGGACGAAAGTCAGAGGCCGAATTGCTACTGTGATGCAACATATGTCTCGTACACTGCTCATTTCAGAACAACTACCAAACCAAAGGGAGAGCTGGGAAACATCCGGCCGGGAACATCCTCCTCTAATGAACGCGCCACGGTCCCGCCGCGGGCCGCCCCGCGCGCGCGCACCGCCCGCGCCCTGCGCGCGCGCAGCGCGGTGCGCACCGCGTTCTCGCGCGCTCGGCGTCGTCACTTCCTCCTCCTCCTCCTGCTCCTCCTTCTCCTCCTTCTCCTCCTCCTTCCCCTCTTCACCATCTCTTCCTCCTCCTCCTCGTCCCATCTCATCCTCCTCCTCTTCTGGTTTGGGTGTTCGTTGTACGTCCAGCACGCGCGTGAAGGAATGTATGTTCTGACCGCGGGTTCTCTATTTTCTGCCTCTCTCCTCTGCCCGACTCCTTCCGTACCGCAATTCGTTTCCGGAGCGCCCTTCCCGATGCTTGATCAGTACTTGCCTCGCTGGTGCCCGCAGGCCAAGAAACGTTTTGGTGTTGGCGCTCATTTCCTAGACCCCCGACGTCATGAATTTTGAATAACGTCGACCCCCCAGAGGTCCCCACCACTTCTCAGGGACGGGTTTTTCACCCTGAATCGTCGTGTGACGGCCCCGAGGGCCGGTACGGGCCCCCCCGAGGCCGAACACAGCCAAAGATTGGCCGTCGTGATCTTTTCAGAATTCGAAGGGGTCCTGGGTCACAAGCCTCCAGGCGAGCGGTGCCGCCCCCGCCAG